GAAATATATTAGTAAGGGAGGGGGAATGGATTTGGTGATTCGGGGGAGGGAGTGTAAATATATTAGTAAATTGACTTAAAACGAACAATTGACTTAAGGGAAAATTGCAGAAACCTTCCATGAGGTTTGTGATACTAGCACTCACCTCCCCTGCGGTTTAAGAAATAGCACTGATATCTCTTGAACTTACTGATTCTGTTGCATATTTAGTCCAAGTTAGAAAAAGTGCCATTAAAATATTGCTTTAAGGAGTGAGATGAGAAACTGTGCCAGATTTGCCCTTTGTGCTACATGCCAAGTAGAATTAGCAAATGAATGACAAAGCACTACAAAATAATTAACAATTAATAAACTTCAAGAGGTGTAGTTTATGGGCAAATAGGCATTACTTATTGAAAGTACTAGTTCTTTATGGGCATTTTACTCTCAAACATTTAATTTATGATAAATACATCAATTTTTGTAAGTAAAATTCAAAAAGTGTTACAGTAATATTCTTACAAAAAGGAAACAGGCATGTTATCTATTTAATACAAATTAAATATTTTAAAAAAAAGAAATGGCCCATAAAGTATTAACTCTTTATGGCTTTCCTCCATTACATGAACAAGTATCGGCTCTTTATGGGTATTTTATTTTGAATCATTTTATTTATGTTAAATACATAAATATTTGTAACTAAAATTAAAAAAGTGTTACACTAATATTTTTATGAAAGGGAAACTGGTAGGTTTTGTATTTAACAAAAATTAAATATGTGAAAGTAAAAAAAGAAATTGCCCCTAACATACCAGTTCTTTATGGGTCTCCTCGATTACATGAATAAAGCACTAGTTATTTATGGACATTTTACTCTGAATTGTTTAATTTATGTTAAATATATAAATGTTTGTAAGTAAAATTCAAAGTGTTACACTAATATTTTTATGAAAGGGAAACTGGTAGATTTTGTATTTAACATAAATTAAATATATGAAAGTTAAAAAAGATATTGCCCATAACATACCAGCTTTTACAATGGCAGCCAGATATATTTTGTTAGTTAATTCTTATTTTGCCCATAACATACCAGAGGGGAGAATATGCACGATCAAGCTCGTGCTTATACAATGGCGGCCAAATATATATTGTTAGTTAATTTTTTTAAAATTCAAGCATAACTTTTAGAATTAATCTTTCATATACTATCAATATATACATTGACGGGGTTGGATGAATGCCACATCATATGAATTTAAATTTAAACAACAAATTTTATATATGTGTCATGCATCTAGACCCACTAGTGAATACACTGTCAGTGTATAAAAGATTTACTCTAACTTTTATAAGTCACGTGCAAACCAGGGGATAGCCCACGAGGACAAAACCATAGTCATACAAAACAATATAAAACAAACACAACAATACAGCAACTTGAAATTACAGACTAAACAATCAAGTGAAAATTTGTTGAGTCGGGTCCCAACTAAGACTAAACTCGTAATCCTCTTGGATCTTTGCATGTTAACTACTTAGTTTATGTAATCACGAGTTACTGCACAATTGTAACTTTAATGATAGAACTCCCTATTATCCTGAGGTTGGTTCAACCAGTAGAAGTAACTCTAATGATATAACTTCCTATTATCTTAAGCTCGGTTAGATGTACATTGGGCTAGTTTTTGTAATAAAGAGTTACTACACAATTGTAATATCGAATGATAGAATTCCTATTGTGTACGTTCATATGTACAGTGTTGAATGGTTTATTTGAGCCAATTAAATGTCTCCTTTAATTTTTTTTTTTTTTTAACATCTGGGAAATTGATGCGAACTCGATTCTCCAAACTCCAGCTCTCGAAGAAACGAATTGCACAAGCAGCGGAAGGATCTATCTCGACCAGGTGATGGATACAAAGATGGAACAACCTTGACTCTTCTAACTCACAAAATTGTGAATCTTGAATCTAATCGCGACCCACAACTCAACAAGATAGCGAAGCAAAATGTGTTGGTAGAATGGCGCCACAATTTAACGTGGTCTTGAATTGATAAGTCAAAATTGAACAAAGGAAACACAACTCACTTTGTATCAAAGGACGCTTCCAAAGGAACAAGAAAGAGAAAAACTCTCAATTTTTATTCATCTCATAATTGTCTTACCTCCCTTTTGAAAAATATCATAAGCTTGGCTATTTATAGCCTTACAAGAATCAAAAACCTAATCTAAGTTGGAAACAATACAAGTTTTCTTATTTGACTTGGCTTCTAAACTTGACACAACTTCCTAAACAAATTTGGAAGCAATTAACTATTTTCCTAAAACTCTAACTAGACTAGAATAGGAAACTAACTAACTCAAATTGGCTTAACTGTGATCAACATGACCTTAGCCTTTATTCCCTAATTCAAACAACTTACTTAACTCTTAAATTAACTCTAATTAACAACTAACATTGCTGAAAACTCAATTAAATAAATGATAACAAGAAATAAGCATGACACAGGTTTGGATCTTCAATGATTCTTGAGCCCAATAACCATTATTAGAATGTGAAGACTTGTAAAATGAATTTCCCTGGATTTGAATCATTGGATCCCATTTTCGCATCAGAAATGATCAGTCTTGGGATGGATTCTATTGTTCACTCCTGTAATATTCTTATTGGGGACAAAATTGACAATGAATTTTATTAATTAAGACAGTATAATAAACAAATGAAACTTATTTTGTAGTTTTAAGATTGTTGTAATGCTAAATAAAAGTCATGAAAAAGTAGTAATTGTATTATTCAATTGACTAGGCAACAATATACTAATCAAATAGATTAAGCATGAGTGAAAAAAAATAAAATTTTTACTCTTTTTTTAACATTTACATTATTTTGATATTTGTGACTTTTGCATTTTTTATGTATCTTAGTTTTTTTTTGGAATTTACAAAATTATACTGATTTTTATAGTAGAAATTGCTAGTAAGTTTTAAAGCCAAGTTGACTACAGACATAAATATAAAAAAGGGGCGTTCACTAAGGATTTAGCTGAAAAATTTTCAAATATTTGGGATCTTTATAATATTATTAAAATGTAAGGGTCAAAAGTTATAGAAAGGTAGGAACTGTAATTGCAATTGATGATTTTGCTGCCCACAAAGACCAGCGCACAGAAGAAATTGTTGGAAGGGACCTCATAATTTGAGTCTACCTAGTTCGAATGAGCTCATGTAATTTTTATTACATTTGGTATAAATTTGTACAATTTTGTTGTAATCGTCAACTTAGTTGTATTTATTAAAAAAATTCAAATTTACATTCAAAGCGTATAAATTTATATAAATAATTATAAAAATTACACGAACGAATTTGAACCGGAGGCTGCTCAACTTGGGCGGCCTTGATCCGGAAATTGCCATAGTGACTGTAGGCAGACATAACAAACATCCTAAAAGGACATAACAAAATTGCCAGGTCAACGACCAAAACTTCTCGTTAGCCACTACACCGGCAAGATGCAGGTGCTCATCTTCGACTAATCATTAGTGCTCTTCTCTCCGCCACCTGGGTTTTTTGCCGTTTTCAGGTGTCCGTCGATTGTAATTTGTTCCCTTTGTGGATGTGGGTTGAACTGTAACTGTGTAGTGATTTCTTTCTTGTTGGCTTTTTATTGGTTTTTGTCTCGTTTGCTTATTGCATGATTAAGCTTTGCATCCGACTGCAAGAATTCAAATGGCAAAGTTGTCTTTTTACCTCCTCATATTTCAAAAGGTAGGTCTAGATTGTTTGCTGGATTAATTAGAAAACTAAGCAATTCAATTTTCCTATCCCTGAATTTCTAGTCTTGTGTACTCGGGCAAACCTTTTTCATGACTGAGTTTAACATCTACAAGTAAAATTCTAGTATTTCCAACTATTTTTTCTTGTTATTTCACGTATATCAAAAAAGTTCTATAGTAATTATTTTAAATAATATTTCAAATAATACACTATCTAAATATTCCCAATATTTGATACCACCAATGTAGTACATAACAGATTTTTTTTTTTGACAAATGGACGATTATTGAAGTTATCAAGAGCACATTGACAATGATAACATTTATTGGAACTTGGCAACATGTATACTGTATAATCTAAATTTGTTCTTAGTTCAACTAAACACCAAGCCAAATGAACTTCCAGTAGGTACTTTATTTTAATGCACAAAGAAGATGAATACAAATTATGAAACAAAAACGGTTGTATTCTTTTTTCCGTTCATGGAACAAGTAATTGACCAGATCACGTATCGTAATAAACTTCTTTATGATGTTGGATTTTTGCCAAAGATTTCACTTATAACGCTTCCCTTCCCCCCCCCCCCCCCCCCCTCCCTCTTCAACAGCCCTCCTTGAAAATATTGTTTATTTATGTATGCTATCATTATAAGTTTTTCTTCTCATTTTCTTTGTTGTGAAAAATATCTGATTCTCACTTGTCATTGTAGACTCTTGTCTTAGTATGATCATTACTAGCAGGTTGCATTACTTTCTATGAAAAATTTAATATTTCTTTTATTAAGGGTGGCAAATTTGAAAAAAAAAAGAAAAAGAAAAGAAAGGATGACAAATTTTAAGCTGTTGTTTAAATCAATTATTCGAAGGGTTATTAGGTATTAGGAAAACAGTAATAACTACAACAACAGAAAACGGCTTTGACGTGAAAATTCACTTTCCTTAAAGAACTTTGTACTTCAAAAGTGTTTAGTCGTCCAAATGTTAGAAAGGAGTTTATTAGCTCTTGTCATATTGCAGCCATGGTTTGCGCTTTTTAACAACATTAAGTACTATCCTTGTTTATTATCTTCCAGCTACATCTAATAATCTAGAGGTTTAAACTAATAATTCTAATCATGCTGTCATGTAAATCTCATTCTAACAGTTGCGTTAGTGTTTCATATATGCTAATTTTCAAGTTTACAATTCCTTTTATCTTTTATTTAGTTCTAGTTTATAGCTTTTCGAAGTTAGCAAGAAATATAGCTTCAAAGTTTCTCCACCTTGTCACATGATCTTTGAATATGTACACATTCAGCCCCATTTGAATCTAACAAAATCTATATCTGAATCTACATAGTTCTCCAAAAAATTATTCAATGCCAGAAAGTTGATGTAGAGATAAAAATTTCAAAATATCAACTGATGGAGAAAGCAGTACAACAGCTTTTGCCTGAATGGACAACATCAAAAGCATCAGCAGCACCTCACTTAGATGGCAGAAGCCTCAATCTTGAATTTGAAGCTGAAGCAAAACGTGCCAAACTATTAGCAGTGCAGAAGCTGGACCCTACAGCGAGAAGGTGGTCAACTTTAGCATAAATTAATCATGCTCTTAGATTTATATAAACTAGCAGATGTTCATGGTGATAAATCGTAATTATGCCCAATGCAGTTTTGGCTAATAGTTATGAATATTATATATGAAAAAAATTACATAATATTGTTTTAAGTGTGTTAATTTGTTAATCTTTTAACAAAAACTAAGTCATAAATAAGAATAACATTTTTTGTTATATGATATTTAGTAGGATTAATCCACAACTGAATAATAGCTGGACACAGGTCAATTTTAATATTCACAGAAAAGAAATATTAGTTTGTCGTATTTGAGTTATTATTTAGTAAAACAAATGTATGATTAAAGCTAAGAAATGGACAAATAGACTTTTACTGCTATTGAAGTTAAAACTTATCTATTTATCTTTAAAATACAAGACTAACATTATAAGAATTATCGTCTACATGAAAATGATACTCTATAAGAGTTGAGCTTCTGATTGCCAACACTATGTAGGTTATCTTTTTTCCAATCATCCCGCTGCCTTACCTTTTCTTGAATAGCTACATCGTCATCATCCTCCTCTTCACCACGTCTCAAGTTATCCTTAGGACCTTAACCAATGTGAAAGTAGTCAATTTCTGTAATAATCAACAACCAAAATGTGAACAACATTTTTCAGTAAATCCACTCCAACTTCTAATCTGAGCAGGTGCATGGCATTTCTTAAAATATAATTGGCTTCTTGATTCATCATATATCAAGTCAACAAAATCGCGGTAGCATCTCTAACATGTATGAACATTTGATGGTGTTGAGAAAACAATGTAGATGACCTATTAGTCTATTTAAAAACAGAAAAAAAAAGGAAACTATAGAAGGAAATAAAAAAAAATAGGGTGTAGTGTTTGTGTCTGATATAGAGAGAGAGAGGAAGAGAGCGTTTGCTAAAGAAACAGGGTGGAATACAATTTAGGTTCTCAGGTCGTATTAGGAAAGTTTACTATGAGCTCCGACAATTCTGACCTCATTTGGAGACAATAAAGGCTTGGTAAATGGGATAATTATCTAGCACCATCCAAGCAAGAGCGTCCTCACCCCCTTGCAAAAAACCAAAAGGTGAACCACTGGGTTAGTACATTGTTGGTAGAAAAAGTTTTGCAGTTGCTGGGAAGAACATATTGAGAATCACCTTAACTGAAACTCAAAATTTTTCACTAATAAAGCCAATTCCTAGTTAATTTCTCTAACTTTTTCCTTTCTTTCTATTTTTGAATACGCAATTTCCTTTTTGCTGTAAAAGTAGGGTTGAAAGCCATAACGCTCCAGTGGAGGCAACAAATTCAAATCCGAGTATAGCAGGGGAAGTGACATAGCAAAATCTACCCAAATGACATCAAAACCAATATATGGTAGTTCATCACTACCTAAATTGACCCAAATGACATGTATCCTGACATAGGTTACATATCTCAACGTGGTGATTAGAATGAAACTCCATATTTTTAATAGGATACATGCAATCAAAATCCCGAAAGATAAAAATATTGATATCATAAATACCGAAGAGATGGAGAAGTAGTTATGATTGGTTTTAGAAACAGACAAACTTGAAGCAGCTACTGATTGCTAATTCTCAAGAAAATATCCCTCTATTTTCATTAGATTATCACCTCCAAAAGATCAATTACATGTCAACTTATAGGCAGGAAAAAATATCAGCATGTTGAAGTTAAAAAAATATAGAAAATAAACTGCATAGTGAAGTTCCTTCATGTTTTATTTAGGCAAACAAAAGGGTGAAAGTTAAGAAAAATTTTATTTAATTATGGAGTTTTTTACATAAAATTTCCCATAGTATATCTGTATAATCAAGTACATTGAGGCAAACCACGAAGGAAGTGTAGATATACCTCTTGCTATTCAATTTGAAGCATTTACGAGTAAATCAATTAAAATCTTGAAGCCTCTAGCAAAATTACCATCACCTCCTGCTTACATTTTCACCTAAAAAGGAATCAAACCAAGATATGTAAGCTGAGTATAAATAAGTTTCAAAAACAAAGGAAGAGCCATTTTTTGGATGGATGCAATGAACTATGAAAATTTTTAGATTAATAGAGAAATATAATAATGATGTAGCAATATGATCCATTTCCAGTTTATGATACATAATTTACAGTCTGTTAAAAAATGACTGCCTTTTCGTTTGAGACATCTCACAGATTGCCTTTTGTGAGTCAAGAGTAGTATATAAACCTGCAAGGTAGATAACCACAAAAAAGAAAAAAAAAAAAAAGCAAAATCAGATCAGCTGAAAATCCAGAGTAAAAAAAAATAGTAGAAAAAATACTTAGAATCAAATGACTTTTCCCACTTTCAAAATTTCTAGATAATCTTTTCACAAGTGACCATTTGTTCCTAATCATTCGAAAGAGCTAGGGAGTAAAACCACCTAAATTAAAGCCAACTAAAATGCATTGAATATTTACCATACTCAATAACAAACTCAAGGAATAGAGTAACTTTCTGCTATATTGCACAAGAGCCAAAATTTACAGCCTTAAAGCACCACGTGAAATCGAGAAATCTCTCAAATTTAAAGAAAGATAGCTAACTATTTTCTTCATCGTTCAAAAGGAAATATATAACAAGTACTTTTCAGTTCCATAAAACTTACCATTCATCTGCTGAGGAATGTTAGTAATCCGTGACAAAATCTTCAAACATGCAACTACAACACTGGAAAAAAAACTAATAACAAATCTAAAAGGAAAAAAGGTGCCAAGAAAACAGGAGCTCCAACAGCGAGACATTTGCATCTTTGTTATTCTTGCTGAAGAAAAATATTGGTTGAAAGGTAAAGGTATTACCTTTTAAACTTGAATTCCACCATTGATATTTAAGAGTAGGGTAGACATTCACGCGAGAAGAAATTATCTGAAATTTGTCAATAATGGTCTGAGATGCTTCGTGCCAAGGAAATATTAGTTAAAAAGGACACATGAAACATATTGCAAGAGAGTAAGTAATTCGGGCATAATGGAAAGAAAAAACAAATTTAGCGGAAGTTTTTCATTTCTTATTTACTTGTCAAACAATAAAATTATTTGTTCATCTTGAATTTTACCATTGGAAATTAAAAGCAGTAAAAAAACTCTCGCAAGAAGAAACTTTCTAATTTTTCCCTTCTTTCCTTTTAGACTTCCTAAAATTTTTCATTAATGGTTTGAAATGCTCTAAGCCAAGGAGAAAGCAAAAGAAAGAAAAGGATAGATAAAAAATATGCAAAAAAATAAGAAATAAGGGCATACAAACCTTACCTTTTAATAAATTCTCTAACCTAAATTGCAAACTTTAAATAAACAATAACTGGACACATATTTCTAAAAAAAAAAAGTTCCAACAAAACCCAAAAAAATGTTATCTATCAACGAAATTATTTATGAAGGTAAAAAATTCTAGATATGATGGGTACCTATATCAGATTATTCCACATCTTAGCAGAGGGACGAAGGGTCTTGCTCCTATGTTTGGAGAGACTAAATCAAAACAAAGAAGGAAAATGTTACCAAAAAAAAAAAAGAAACAAGCACATTAAACATAGGCAAAATGGGTGAAAGTTTACCATGATTACATTTGAAAAAAAGTGATTCAGATGGCTGAGAAGAATCAAACATCTTCCCCCTTCATCCTTGTTTCCCCTTTCCTGTTAACTGAAGAGAGAGTTTGAGAGGAATCGGCCATCAACAAGGAAATGAGGAGGAACGGGTGAGACAAAGGAGTCATCTGCTTTTTTCTGTTCTATTCTGGTGGGCAAATGAGGATCCATCTACAATCTAGTATTGAGAGAAATACTAGACGTGTAGTATTCATCATTGTCCAATGTGGGAGTGACACCTCAACAAATGATAATTGCAATGATTGATGAAAATAAGTGTTCATGTAAAATGTCCTATTTCTGCCTTGGGTCATGACCGGTTGTTGTAGATGCATAACCGGGAACATGTGTATTAAAAAATGAGAGAAGTGGGGCCTGGCTTAAAGAAACAAAAGAGCACATGCTTGTATTCTACTGTCCACGTCATAAGAATTTATGCTCTTCCCAACGAATTTGTATCAGACAAAATTCAATTTAGTTGTACCACAACTAGATTGTCCGAGGATTAGTTCCAAGGTTTGCTGTCCAAGTTGCATTCAATGCTTTCACCAACAGCCACTCAAGCGTTTGGAAATGAGTTATTAAAAATTTAATGAATTAAAATGGTTGTTGGGAATAATAAATGGCATTACTTTGAACCTATACTATAAATTGTTCAAGAATGGCAAGGATCCATCACAATGTATATGGAAGAAAAGTAGGTGGAAAATCAACAAAGAAAACCTCCCAAAATTGAAAAGAAGGTAAGTAATATTTATTAAATTTTGATAAAGACCATGTTTATGTTTTTTAAATAATTATATAAATCACTAATGTTAGAGGAAAATGTTATCTATGGGTCTTGCATTATGCGGTGGGATATGCATCTCTTTGTTTGATTAATTTTTACGAAGTACAAAATAGTCAACTTTTATGCAACTAATTTTTTGTTTAATTATTTTCACTAAGTTTTGGGTCACTATTTGACTATTGGTTCCGTTAAGGATATGGATTTGATGTCATAATAATAATTTAAAATATTAACAGAGGAATGTGATAGACAATAAAAACTATGTAAGGACATAGTTTTCATGTATGTAAATTTGGAAGAAAGAATCGGAATAAATTATCAAGGAGAAAGCATTGGAAGAAATTAACCAACCAAATTGTGAATGAGTTTGTGTCCAGATGAAATAGTAAACTGTTTTCGTCCACTTATGACTTTTATTGTAAGTAAGGCAGTGGGAGAAAATGGTGGATAATTAACATAAAAGCCTCTTTTAAGACTTTAAATCCTATTACTGATTCTGGAGTCGTAAATTAGTCAATGTTTTTTTTCCTGCTACTCCATTGTTTTTTCTTTGGTAGGACTAAGTTTAAAGATTTAATTAATTTTTTTTTGAAAGGAAAAAAATAAGGAATGACATGTATTAGATTCTTTTGTATAATTAATTTAATTATGAATTTTGTGGAAGAAGTGAAGTTTAAAAGTGGCGTGTTTATATTATTGAATTCATATAAGTGTGGTTACATGGGAATGAAATGTAATAAAAAGGATGTGAGCATTGATTACCAATTCTGGCAGTACATGAATGGTATATAATAACGTCAATCTTTTGTTTCGTAGAATAAAAATGGAAGATAGCGAAGGCAAGTGTGGAAGACAATCAATGTTAAATTTAAATGAATATCCAGAAGACCCATATGTAGATGTGGAAGAAAATGGTAGTAGAGAGACTGGGGGCGAAGAAAATGTCGAGAACACTGCAATTGATATCGCCTTCGATCAATTTTGCGTGGATGACATTGAGCGTGATGAAGTGATGAAAATGACATTTCCGTCCGAGTCACATGCCGAGCTATTTTATAACACATACGCAAGAGCAATTGGGTTTAGCATCCGCAAAAGTGATTTCAAGATGTTTGACAGTGAGATTGTGAAATACAAAAAATGGGTGTGCTCGTGTGAAGGAGAGCGCAATCCAAAATGGAAAAATCTTCAAAATAGACAGAGGGAGGCAAAACCCGACTTTAGAACAAATTGCGAAGCTTGTTTTCGGATAAAGTACAAGACTATAGGAGATTAACGGCATTGACTTTTACAATTTTGTCTAATACATAGACTTTGAGTATAGGGATGGTGGTATCGGCGTTGAAAATGGAGGCCGCACCAAGCACAAGCCTAAAGGAAATTAACTACTGTCCCTCAAATTCACGGTTCCCACCACACATCGGAATGTTGGCGGGAAGTGAAAGTGTGGCAATTGTGAAAACTTTCCTTGTTTGAAATAGAATTCCATCTCGTGCATTTGCGCCAATTTTTTCCCCTAATGAATTGTACATGTTTGGATTCCGTCCATTTCATCAATCCGATATGGTCTTATATTACTTTAATTACAATCTACAAACATTAATACAAGATCGTATAATTAATATGTAGTTAACTATGTTTGTTGCATATTAATAAAATTGCAACATTTTGGCTTTATTTATGATAGCTAATAAATAATTAATTTTTGGACTAATTTGTCTAAATTAATCATACACCATGATATTGGACCGATATGGTCATACAATTAGCAAGCCGCTACTGTTTACGCATTTACCCATATTGAAGAAATAATTAACATTTTTGGGCAAAAACCACCCCAATTTGTACAAAATTTATGTATTGGAGTAATTTGGGTATGACAATTAAAATTAATTTTTTGGACTAATTTACTCCTAGTTTTTTTTTTGTTAAATCAAACATCTAACTTGACACTGCCAACTAAACGCTGGACAACAGGATTACTCATCCAAAGATGAGTAATCGTCTCTCATTTCACGGAGAGTTCGTTTGCTCCATTGGATCATATGATAATTTGAAGTTATTTACTTCTATTACTTGTTATAAATGAATAGTCAACCATATTAAAATAATAGAAGTAAATAACTATTTTTTTAAACAAATAAAATAATGATCACTTGCTATTATTTTTCTCGAGCTTAGCTAGGCTCAAACTATCATAGATTAATGTTGAACTCGAGTTTTAAAATGAAAGTTGATAGAGCTCAAGATCGTTGTCAAGATTTGCATTGTACCAAAAAGCAATTTTGCAATCCTCAAGTAAGTAATTCCATCTCATGCTATTATTGATAGAATAAATATTGATGCTTATTTGTTAAACTAAACGTCTAACGCAAAACCAACCAAATGCTGGATAACAAGATTACTCATCCAAAGATGAGTTACTGCCTCTCATTTCATGCAAAGTTCATTTGCTCCATTGGATGAATATATTTTAACAAATTGATGGTATAAATGACTATTTTATTCTTCTTTTATAAATAACTCTTTGTGCCGTCTTATATTACTTTTATTACAATCTACAAACATTAATGCAACACCTTCTATATAATAATTTATTCAAACAATCGTATAAACTATGTTAACTAGATATTAATAAAATTGCAGAATTTTGGCTTTATTTACCATAACAAATAAAAAATTAAGTTTTGGTCTAATTTGTTTAAATTAATCATACACCATGATTTTTGACGGATATGGTCATACAGTTAACAAACCGTTGCTATTTACACATTTACTCATATTAAAGAAATAAATAACATTTTTGGGAGAAAAAAAACCGCCCCAATTTGCACAAAATTTATGTATTGGACTAATTTGGGTATGACAATTACACTTAATTTTTTGGACTAATTTACCCCTTTTTTTTTTTGGTTAAACCAAACATCTAACATGACACTGCCTACCAAATGCTAGACAACAAGATTATTCGTCTCTGATTTCATGTAGAGTTCGTTTGCTCCATTTGATCATATGATAATTTGAACTTATTTACTTCTATTACTTGTTATAAATGACTATTCATTTATGTTATAAATGTCTTTTTTTTAGCAAATAAAATAATGATCACTCGTTATTATTTTTCTCAAGCTCAAGCTCGAGATTAATGTTGAACTCGAGCTTTAGAATGAAAGCTGATGGAGCTCAAGATCGTACTGGAAGTTACGAAAATTGAGCCAATTCAACTCATTTTGCAATCCTATATGTTATGGAGCCTTGTTATTAAATCTATGTACTTTTTGTAAATTCAATATTAATACATTAATCAAAAAATGAATAAAAAAATGGAGCCTTGCAATCCGATATGACTCGATAACCCATTTGCGAATTAATAATAATTTAATAAACATAAAAATTATTTTATCTAACTAAACTAAGTTATTTTTTTTCCAAAGGCATTAATCACTTAATCCTAAATGAATTTATTTAACTTGTGTGAAGTTAAAGTTATTATATTTGGACAAATAATGTATTATATTATTTTTTACTATTATACTGTTTTAATTTATTTTATATTTGGTTTGGGATAAAACACCTTTACGATGTCTGATTTATTTTAGATTTGGTTTGGGATTATTTATTTAAATTTTTATTACTTGATTATGTAATTAGTTTTGTGCGAAATTGGTTTCATTAGAAATTACAATGATAAATTAATAAATTAAAATTAAGTTTCGGGTCATTTCGGGTCGCCCCGCCAATCAGAAATTTTCGAGTTCGTGACAAGTATCTTGACCTGTTTCGGTTTGGTAGGTCAGGTTCGGGTCAGCGGGTTTTCTGTTACACTCAGGTCTCAACCCGACCCGTCACCCCGATTTGGACCCGATTGCCACCCCTAATCGTACTGGAAGTTGAGAAAATTGAGTTGATTCAGCTCATTAAATCTATATTTTTTTGTAAATATAATATTAATATATGTAATCAAAAAATGAACAAAAAAGAATCTGGCAAAAATACAATATATTACGGCTACTTTGTATTTGCTGCTTTAATTTGAAGTATCATAGTTAACAGAACAAAGTAAAGTATAGTGAATTTTTTTGCAAAAAATATAAAACATTTACCCATATCAAGATTTCTATTGTACCAAAAAATTCACTCGGAACTGTGATTTGTTTTGTTTTGTTCATTCTTGATAATGCCCACACGGAGTGTTATTGATATATTTCATCTGCTGAAGTCTCTGGAGTTTATCAAAAAGAACCGCTCAATTACAGCTCGGGTACTCTTGAAATCCCCGAGGTGCACTTTATTTTATTGAACAGCAAGTACTCTTCTTTTACCTTTTAACCCGGTGGCCTATTGCTCAGTTTTTGGCTGTATTAGTTGACAAGTTTTACTCTTCTATATTTTATTAATTCCCACACCACTGGTACAGTTTTGATACTAGACTATAGAG